TTTTTTAACAATTTTACACCCACTCACTTTGCCAATGCTTCACTATAATCCTTTCCCGAGAGCACCGTTAACAACGGAGAAGCGCCAGCTACTTTGGTTGCACTTGATCCTGCACAAGCTTAGAAAAAACGAAAATAATTTTCAAGCAAAAAATTTGGAAACAAAGAATATGAACCCATAAGTATCGCAACTGATTCGGAGTTAGCTTCTCGAATAGCACAAGCAAGTGGAGAATGCCCGCTTTCATCTAGTACAGTCATAGCTTTAGAGAATGCTGCTTCAGTGGATAGATCCTGAAATTACGCAATTTCAAAAAATAAAAAACATCCACTGAAGTATTTAAAAATTCTGTATACCTTAAGAGTTGAAGCACTATTGGCAGCAGCCCAGTGGACTACAGTACGACCCGTGGCATCTTTTTGACATAAATCAGCCCCGTGTTCGAGAAGAACCCTGACAGCTTCCACTTGTCCCCACTTGGCAGCAATGTGGATGGGAAAGTCTCCATCTTGAGTGGCGAAGCCAAGGACGCTTGAAAAGACGATTTCAGCATTATTTTCATTTTTGCTCCCATCCACCCTGTTTTGCTGTACTAAACTTACACTTGACGATCTTTCTCAAGAGCCGCTTTGAGAAAACCAAGAACACCACATGCAGCCGCGTAATGTATCGTTTCCCAATCTGGCTCAGCGGATACAATGTTCATCATCTCTTCGAATCCACTATCGCTCATTGTTTGTCCTAAAAATTTGTTTGCTAATTTCAACTCCATGATCACGGGGAAATGGTGATGAAGGTGAAGATTGCACTTTCCGCTTACTTAGAAGAAAACTACAGCTACCTATTGAGTCTCTGTAGCCAGACAGTGCATTTTCCAATAAGCTTCATAGTTTCGTAATTCAGTTTATGACACAAAATCGAAGTACTGAACAATAGAAGAAAGCAAAAGGACCACGAAAGAATGAGGAGTTGTGGATTGCTTTTGCTATTTTGAGAAAAGAATAAAATTGA